CTCTACCACTGCCGCTCCGACCTCCCTCTGGTGGGCATCGCTGGCAGCTAGAGTCCTTCGATCTGTCGTATTGGTCGAATTCGCTGGTTGAACCATGTTCGCTCGCGTGTTGGTTTAAAGGAATTGGGATGACTTAGATTGTCGATTCCCACAGACGGCGCCAAATGTTTATGCAAAGATGTGCACAACAGTGTATTCCTGGTTGTAGCTCGAACTCGGCCTCCGGACCAACCTGAACACTTGAGCGGACCTGCACAAAAAGGTGAGCACTCCGACGATCAAGTCAGTATATGTCGGATTCCGAGTTTAGTTCGAAGCCAGAAATCATCGTACCTGATCGGGGAGTGAGGTCCTCTACTTATGGGTGGTGGTCCCGCTAATCTAGCGACGGTTACATTCGGTAATCTCGGGACCGACGGTTGCGCCCGATAATCACGCCGCAGACAGTTCCTCACATCCGCCCCTACCGAGCTCCCCGGTAGGTCAGACCTGGGCCAGGTTCACCTCGGCCCTCATACTTAGCATTTGTCGGCGTTGCTGGCGGCCATCTCGGCTATCCGAGCTGGGCATGACTCATGAGCCATCTTGGAGCACCAATAGGGGTCCTCCACGTGTCCATGGTATTCCCTTCCCCAAACAAAAATATATTATCAAAATGATACTCATTAAAAAACTCTAACCCTCTTTTTGAGGTAATTGCATAATTATTGAGGTTATGAGTTCGAATCCCCCAATATATTATATTAAAAAAAATAGTGGAAAAGAAATAAAATAAAATTGAAAAGCTTAAAAATGAATTAATAAAAAGAAAGCGGTGGAGCGTCCACGAATTTTAATCAATGCTCATAAATATAACAGCAAAGAATAAATAAATTTAAAAAAATGAATAATTAAAAAGAAAGAGGGTGGGGCGGCAACTCTACTTGCGTTAGTGGCAGCATATTATTATTTTTTTAAATGCTAATAATAATTATTATTATAAATTAAATAAATAAAAAGTACATAAAATAAGATAAGATAAAAGTTGAAAATGACAAAATAGCACCAACCTCACTGCACGTAACTGACAAATATAAAAAATAATGATAATAATAAAGTGAACGGATTAAAATATTATTTTAATATAAAGTGTAGAAATGGATTTTAAACTCGTAAATTTTGTTAGAGATATATTATTTTTACTAAGTTTAAAAAAGGGGATTTGTAATGGGTAGCATATAAGTTTTCTATATTTAGCAAAATAGCATGTCTTTTTGATATTTTCAGATATAACACTTTTCTGAAAATCTTGATTTTAAAATTTTCAGTATTCCCAAATTGCCCTTTTCAGTTATCGCTTCGTTATTATATATCAAACATATATCACATATATATCAGGAGTATAACTGACAACATTAGTATATCATAAGTAAATCAATAGTATATCAGAAGTCAATCAGTTCTATATCAGTTGTATAATAGTAAATCACTATTTTACCTGCTTTAACCCTTTGTCTTGTATTTATGATCAATTAGAAATCAGTAGGTATTGACATGCATGGAAAATGAGAAAAAAATTTGATACTTACTAAAAATGAGAAAGAAAACTTGAAAGGAACGTCAATGGTGATTTTCGAAATTACTGTGAATGAGAAATCAATTAGAAATTAGAGGTAAATTAAAACTTAGGGTTTTTCTATACATCAATAATATACAAGTGATATATCAAGTATACATCGTACATACATCAATAGTACAATTAAGTTTTATTTAAAGTTTTAAAGATCAAAACGAAATCAGCAACAATGTCATTCTTAAAAGGTTTAAACATCATTCTTGGATATCAACATCAACATCAAATCAGCAGCAAAGTCCTTCAACAAAAAACTTAAAGGTTTAAACATCAAAACGAATCAGTATCATAAACCAAAAGTAGACTAACAATGTCATTCTTAAAATTCTATAAAAGAAGAAGCATAAGTTACAACAGTCTAGAAAAACGTAAGTTTCATTCTTGTATAATCTTTAGGTAAAAGCTTGGGATATCAATCTACGTTCTTGGTGATTGTCGTGTCTTCGGAGATAATATCTTTGAAGCTTTCCGTTTTTTCATAGACAATACTTTTGACGTTGGTTTATGTTGTCTTTTGGGATGAACGACATCAACATTTTTTACGATGTTTTTTTATTTCATTTTTTGTGTTTGTACCATTGCTTTTATCTGAAAAAAAAATATCTCATATATTAGTAGTATATCAGAAAACATGTATTAGAGGTAATATATTCGAAATAATTGGTAGATATCATAGTTATGTCAGAAGTAAATCAATTTTATATCATATGTATATCAAATATATATCACATATATATCAAGAGTATATCTGTTAATCATAGTTATATCAGAAGTAAATTAATAGTATATCAGAAGTCAATCAGTTCTATGTCACATATAGTAGTAGATATCATAGTTATATCAGAAGTAAATCAATTTCATATCATATGTATATCAAACATATATCACATATATATCAGGAGTATATCTGTCAATCATAGTTATATCATAAGTAAATCAATAGTGTATGATAAGTCAATCAGTCTATATCACCTATAGTGGCATATATCATAGTTATATCAGAAGTAAATCAATTTCATATCATATGTATATGAAACATATATCACATATATATCTGTCAATCATAGTTATATCATAAGTAAATCACTAGTATATCAGAAGTCAATCAATTCTATGTCACCTATAGTAGTAAATATCATAGTTATATCGGAAGTAAATCAATTTCATATCATATGTATATCAAACATATATCACATCTATATCAGAAGTATATCTGTCAATCATTAGTATATCAGAAGTCAATTAGAAGTAATTTATTGTTGGTACGGGCCTGTAGGGTATACTTGTAATTTAGAACGTGGGCCTCCGTTTTTTTGCAAAAATATTTGAAAAATTCAAACCTTGTTGTTATTTTGCTTATTTTCCTAACTTTTTTTTGCCATATCTCAAGTTGCCCAATTAAAAAAGGTAATAATAACCTCAATTATCGGAATTGAAATAGAGCGATCCGAAATTACAAAGACTAAAATCAATATATTAACCAATTAAATAAATTAAGATAAATAAGTTTAAATTATATTTTAGTCATAAACTTTTAAGGTTATTCTATTTTAAATTCTCAACTATATTTTGACCATTAAAATTTTAAGTTTATTCTATTTTGATTCTCGAATTATTAAAATATCTATTTTATATTTTTAGTTCAAAAAAGTTCTTACCTATATTTTACAATTAACAAATAAATAACATAACTTTTAAGTATGTATATTAGCATGTTAATACACTGAAACCACGTTTAGTTAAATAAAGTGAAAATAAGTAAATATGTATTAGATAATAAAATAATAATAGAACTAAAATGATTAAGTTTAGAGATTAAAATAAATTTTTTGAAATTTTCTTTTCTTCTTTTATCGAGTACAATTATATTCTAAAAAAAACACCTTTAATTATATGCTGAATAAAAAACACCTTTCTCCTTTAATTATATTCTGAAAAAAAAACCCTTTAATTTGGTTTTCGGAATTCAGTGTTCAATCAAAAACAACACTAAAGAAAAGAAGGAAAGAGAAAAAAAAAAATGGAGAGCTGGTTCATCATCGTCTTCTCCCTCTGCATCTGCTATTTGCTCATCAAATCCATTTTCCGCCATTTCCGAAGCTCCACCAGGAATCTCCCACCAGGCCCTCCCTCGTTTCCCTTCGTCTCCACTTTCCAATGGCTCCGCACATCCCCTCTACAAATGGAATCCATTCTCCGCCGCTCCGTCGCCAAATACGGCCCCATCGTCACCCTCCGCATCGGCCCCCGCCCCACCGTCTTCATCGCCGATCCCACCATTGCCCACAAAGCTCTGGTTCACAATGGCGCTCTCTTCGCCGACCGTCCACCGGCGGCCCCCTTGTCCAGGATCCTCTCCAGCAACCAGCACAGCATCAATTCCGCCCCTTACGGCCCTCTCTGGCGCCTCCTCCGCCGCAATCTCACTTCCGAAATCCTCCATCCTTCGCGGGTCAGGTCCTACGGTCGAGCTCGCAAGTGGGTTTTGGATATTCTTCTCAATCGGCTCCTCTCTCACTCTGAATCGGGAACCCCCGTTTGTGTTGTTCACCACTTTCAATACGCCATGTTTTGCTTGTTGGTTCTGATGTGCTTTGGGGATAAGCTTGGCGAAACCCAGATCAGAGAAGTCGAGAACGCGCAGCGCACGATGCTGTTAAATTTTAGGCGGTTTGGCATCCTCAATTTGTGGCCGAAATTGACCAAGATTTTTCTCCCAAATCGCTGGGAGGCGTTTCTCGAACTCAGAAGGAACCAGGAGAGAGTCATAATCCCTCTGATTGAAGCAAGAAGAAAGGCCAAGCAAAACAGAGCAAACAGAGCCCAAATGGAAGGAAAAGAAGAAGAAGAAGAATTCGTGGTGTCATATGTTGACACACTCCTCGATTTGAAGCTGACCGACGAGGAAAATAGAAGCCTAACAGATGGCGAAATGGTCACTTTATGCTCCGAATTCCTCACCGCCGGCACCGATACCACGGCCACGCCCTTGGAGTGGATAATGGCGAATTTAGTGAAATACCCAGAAATCCAACACAAGCTTTACGCAGAAATCAAGGGAGTTATGGGGGAAAGAGAGGAGAAGGTGAAGGAAGAAGATGTGGGGAAAATTCCATATCTGAAAGCCGTGGTCCTAGAGGGATTGCGCAAACACCCACCTGGGCATTTCCTACAAGCACGAGAAGTGAAGGAAGATATCAAATTGGAAAATTACGTGATACCCAAAAACGGGATTGTGAATTTCATGGCGGCGGAGATGGGTCGGGATCCGAAAGTGTGGGAAGATCCGACGGCGTTTAAGCCGGAGAGATTTCTAGAGGGGGAAGAAGTGGCGTTTGATGTAACAGGGAGTAAGGAGATAAAAATGATGCCGTTCGGAGCAGGAAGGAGGATCTGTCCAGGGTATGTTCTGGGGATCCTTCATTTGGAATATTTCATTTCGAATTTGGTATGGCGGTTTCAATGGAAGGCCGTCGCCGGAGACGACGTCGATATGTCGGAGAAGATAGATTTCACGTTCGTGATGAAAAATCCTCTCAAAGCCAACATAACTTCGAGGTTTTAAGTTAAGTTGCGTCGATTTTACCCTATTTTGTTTTACCATCTCTAATCTTAACTACATATTCTGAGTGTATGTTTTTTATCTTTCTATCAGTACTAAAACAAACCTGGTTTGTAATTGACATATATTTTTTTAGTTGTAAGTTCGATCCTCCATTCCACGTGTTGTGCTAAAAAAAATAGTTGGTCTTAGTCTAATTATCTAACTCTTATGTCAACGACAACGGTATTCCAAGTACCTGAGTATCTCTACAATAATATGATATTGTCCGCGAGCATAGTCTTCGTGGCTTTTCTTTGGGTTTCACCAAAATGCCTCAAACTAATGAAGATATTGTCCATGATCGTTCTCTTCCGTAGTGAAGGTGGAGTTTGTTTGCAATCACCTTACAAACCCAACAATCCTCCTCTCGAACAAAGTACTACCGAGTCTCCTCTCAAGTAGTCACTCATCCGTCTACTCTCGAAGGTCAGAACGAGAGCTTGCTCTTATCTAAGGCTCAAGGATGCAACACAACTTAATAGAGCACACTCACAGATTACACCATGAATATACCTTTTGAGGTTCACCACTTCTTTGTTCGACATTCAAGGATTACACCGATACAGTTAAGTTTTAGACCATGACTTTGATACCAAACGTAAAAATAAAAACTGCAGAAAAATGAACCAAAAAGGAGATGAAGAAGAAAGAACATAATAGTTTATAGTGGTACCACTAAGTTGGTGTACATCAATATCTCAATCTTCTATTAAGAAATTGTGTGAAAAATACACCCTCCAACGCAGATAGGAACAACACCCTCCCCTTCTCTCTCAAAGGCTAAAAAATCCGTGTAATTTTTCTTTCACTCTCTCCCCATATACAGTTACCACGCAGAAGAGGGTAAACTAAAAACAAAATCACTAAAACGTAAAACTAATAAATGGGCTAAAGGGATAATGGGCCTAGCAAAAGGCATACAGGGCTTAGAGTAATTCTTAGACAAATTGGATTATCAGAAAGAAATAATTTTTTTTCAAGCTTCACTTGCTATATTGTCTCTCACAAAATAAAATTTAACATCTATATGTTTTGTTCAATCATAAAACATATGATTCATTGACAAAGCAATTGCACTCTAACTATCACAATATATACACGGTAGCGGTGTTTACGGGTTGGGAGTGTTTTTGGGACCAGTGGGAACCGACGGGTTGTAAAATGATGGCCAGAGTTGGGTCGGGTTGGGTTGTCGGGTTCTTTTTTTTTTAATTGATTAATTAATTTACTTTTATTTTGTTTATAACATGGACCAAAAAAAATATAGAAAAATCAAAATCTTAATTTTAGCACAAAATCAAATCCTAATTGAAACTAGCATGTAAGTCCTAATTTAATACAAAGATTAAAACATTACATTATCCAAAGTTTATCTAAAGTCCAAATCCAAATTGAAACCAACACGTAAGCCCTAATTCAACAATATTAAAAGTTTACAACTTATTATAGTAGTCATCCAAAGTTTATCTAACGTTGTAGAGAGAGACGGGGGAGAGGGAGATGAAATTGAAAATGTTAGAGAAGAAAGAGAATCAAAGATTCAAAATGGGGAGGAGGGAATTAAAAGTTGAAACCCTAAAATCAATGGTTGAGATTTAATGAAATGGATGGATGAGATTGAATCTAAAAAATAAGATTTTAATTATTAATTTATTATATATATGTAATATTAGATTAATAGTAATATATATATATATATATATAGTAAAAAATAATTAAAACGTATAATCTCGGGTCGGGTCGGGTTGATCCGGGATTTTCAAGGGTCAACCCGAGACCCGATCCAACCCTGTCGGGTTAGGATTTTTCCAACCCAACCCAACCCAATGTTAGATTCAACTCAGCAAAATCAACATCTACGAAACCTTTTAAAATGTCTAGACTATCCTCAGTTTTCAAATATATCAAACCATGCCCTTGACTGAATTTTATATATCTCCAAACCTATTTAACAGCCTCCGAATGAGGTTTACCTAGCATAAAAATAATAATAATAATAATTCACAACTCCAACAGTCAAGAGAAAAAACCCAGCAACAAAAAATACGCAAACCTGGTATCTCCATAATAGTATGATATTGTCTCTTTTGGCATAGCCCTCACGACTTTACTTTTTATCTCACCTAAAAGATCTCAAATCCATGAARATAATTGTCCTCTCTTATATAACTATGATCATTCTTTTTCCCTAACCAATGTGAGACTTTATTTATAATCACTTTACAAACTCAACATCTTATGTTTGACATATCAATTATGTGATGCTTTTTTAACTTTTTGTTGCGATATATATATATTTGTCTTTAACAGAAAAAAAAAATTCCGTTTTTAGAATATGAGATTTCAAATTTGAGGGTTGGAGATTGAATCTTCCATGCAAAATTATTAATGTCTCCAACAAATTCATTCTACCAAATTAACTTCACTCCACTGTTTTTTTAAGATTTAGTCTCTTATTTTCTCTCCCTATCTCACACTCTCTCTCCTCCCGTAATTTTTTTTCTTCTCTCTGTTTTTTTTTTAATCTTCTCTCTAATGCAACTATACATTTTTCTCTCGTCCTCTCTAAAATTTTCTTAGGTTTCTTTTTATTTCTTCCATCTTTCTCTATTTTCTATAATTACTTTTCTTCTCTTTTTTTCTTTACTCACACAAAAACCCAAAATCTCTCATCTCTATTCTCCTCCGTCAGCCGCCACCCCTCCTCCATTTTTTTCTTCTTTTTATTTATTTTGAAACAAGCAACCCACATGCCTTCTGTTTTTTTTTTTTAACCAACAGCCTACATGATTTTGGTGACATCCAATGCGACGCATGCATCAAAGCCGATAAGGGAGGTCGTTTGTCGGAAAAGAAGGATCAAGGGAGGAGGAAGTTCGGCCTACGGTGGAGAAGGAGATAATCTCGATCAAATTTGGGGGAGAAGAAAGAGATTGATCGAAATAAACCAGGAGAAAGGAGAGAGAGCCCGAGGGAGAGAGCCAAAAGTCAATTTTAAGGAGTCATTAATTAATTTATTTGGTTAATAATTTAATTTCTTAAAATATATTTATGTTGAGGGTGAATTTTGGTAGAGGGTCACGTGGTGCACGGACGAGCATGAATCCCAGCGGACCTGAAACCAAAATACTCGACGCCAGTGCGGTCCACGCCAGTGCGGTCCCGCCTAAAACACTTCGACGATCAAGTTAGTGATCAGATAAAAATAGGAATAAGACACCAGAGGTATTAGTGATGAATTTTTCACTTGCGTGGTGAAGGTGAAGGTCCCTCCTTTTATAGCCTCTGGGGCCGACCAGGAAGGATGACGGTTAGAGGTGGCAAGGACGCCGCTCGTTGTACGATTGGTTAGAGGGGCACGCGTTTCCAGCAGGTGCGGGGTGGCACCGCCACCTGCGGCTCTGGGCATATCGGCCGCGGTTGTGGAATGTGCTACCGACAGCACATGTTCCCAGCTACGACTATGTACGGGGTGTAAACGCCTATGGTCTCCTATTCCCTCAGGGGCAGACATGTGCCATGCTCGGTGATGTCCACCTGAGGGGATAACCGTTAGTGGTCCCTAGCCTGCAGAGGAGCGGACGCGTGCCCTACTAGGGTTTTACCCATAACAATTTATAAAATGAATAAATTAAATTTCCTAAATCATTGAATTAATTTTGAATGAATGTTTATCAACTCAATCATTAAATAAAATTATAAAGTGAATAATTTTCAAATGTTTTGAAATAAAATGTTGTTTATCGAAAAAATAATAATGGTAGTAATAATAAAATTTGGATAATTTAAATGAAGTCATAAACAAGGAACTAAATAAATAAATTTCGAAACAATTTAGTCAAAATCAAATTCAGAATGATTAACAAATAATTTAGGGATTAAAGATTTTTTTAATTAAAAGTTAAAATTGGAATTAAGGGAAATAAAATCTCGATCTCTCCTTAATCTCCTTAATTTTAGTCTTGAATAGTATTGGTGTTTAAATTTGAAATTTAATCCAAATTTATTTCCTTCGTTGATTTTTCTAATCTCCCCTCCAATTTAGAAGCAACATGATTTTGGTTATGTATATCTTGATGCATTGGATCCACGTTTCGTTAGCTAAAGTAAATATAGGGTAAATATGTATTAGGTAATAAAATAATAATAGTGGCTAAAATGATTATTTTTTGAAAATTTAAAGACTAAAATAAACTTCAAAAATATTTTTTGAATCACTAATATTAGCTATTGAATCTTTTAAATCTCTATTTTAATCTAAAACTTTTTAGATTCATTTTGTTAAGAAGTCTCTTGCTAATTGTTTACCAGGTAGATAATATGACTTTGAATATCTATATTAATAAGACATAGACAAGGACGGAGTGGAGGAGAAAGAAATCCCTTAGTTGGTCGCAACGCAGAGCGTATAAAATTTAGAAATGAAAAATTCCGAAGGTTTTGTAGTTTTCCTCTAACCCCACCTAGTGAATGCAAAAATTTAGAAACGAAAGATCATATAACACAAAATTTTGCACCTTATTTAGAAAATTTTGGAATGGTTAGCTCATTGATTCAGGAGTAAATTCAGAGGAATGAGTTCAAATCTCATGTTGGCTACGTATTTTAGAAATTATTTTCTATCCCATGATTAGTAATGACACCCAAATTGTTTAAATACTCACAGATATCACAATTATTTAAAAAAAAATAGTATTGGGTACTAAGCAGCAAATTGGCAATAAAGATTAAAATAGTTAAAGAAAATTGAGAGACTGAAATGGATATTCTAAAATTTTATGGACTATATTATAATGAAATTGAAATCTAATAATGGTTTATTGGCTGTGTACGTCAAAAGTTGCAAACGACAACTACATGAATAGAATGTGCGCCTAATTGGTCGTCTTATGTATTAATTAAAAAAAAAATCAAACGTGACCCCTATCGAACACCAGGTTTGTAAGTAGTTTCTTGAAAAGACGACCTAGTTCTGCTTATTCATAGGTTGTCTCTCCATTAAAATAATTTGGTAGATGGTATATTTTTGGAATAATTTTAATAAAAAGTAATATTAAAAAAAACACATTCCCATTATCCCA